ATTGTTTTGTTTTTCTAAATACAGCAACCCTACCCTGAGACACTTCCATAACACAGAATGAGAAACAATGACCTGCCAGGTCCCATTTTATAAATAGTAACACCGAGGGCCCAAGAGGATGCAGAGGAAGTCTTGACCTCAGTCCAGAACTCTCCTTCCATCACACTTAACTGTGCTAAAGACATTTGTACCCTCTTCTTGTCAGGGGGTTACTGTCAGTTGCCTGGAGGTGATTTCAAAAGAGTCAGTATGATTTCTGTCTTCTCTGCTCCCTTCCCAGTTCTCAGCTCCACCCCCCTTCCGACTGCTGCAGGTATCACAGAGGCTGTCGGGGGTATGGCCATTCTCAGGGCCACATCCCTAAGGCCACCTCAGGGAGGAAGTGGGCTGAAAGTGGTATCAGCTAGAGACAGCTGCGAGGGAGAGCCCATAATTGGGTAACACAAGGACAAGTGGGATTTGGCACAGGCAAACTACAGGCAAAGCATGTTGGGAGAGGCCCACTTAATTCGTAGAGACACTCGGAATTAGTTGTAAATTCTCTGGGAAGAGATCAAGGCAGCGGCATAAACAGCTCAATTAAACTGTCGGCTCAATGCTCAATGCACCATAATGGTCAAAACACAGCCTTTAATCTAGATACAGTGGATTATCTTTTGGGGCAGTAATGAGATTCCTAAGATTAGTTGTACCTGAGTCGGAGAGAACAACAGCTGGCTCAGCGACACCAGGGGCAGGAGTACAGGTCAGCATGACTGGGCTTTGTGTGGAAGTGGCTACCCGGATGCCACAACCTTCGTGGGGCCCTCTCTGGATGTTGGGAAGATGGGGAAGAATTTCATTCTGCTTCCTCTGCTTGAGACGCAGTCTGGGAACAGAACCCAGAACACAGCAAGTCTGACATGGTCCTGCCTCCAGACCAGAGCTAACTCAGCCCACTTAGCCCACTAGCACCAGTTCCAAGGCAGGTAGAAACACCAAGCTTTAGCCCTCTGCCATCCTGCCCTTCAAGATCCACCACCCACATTCACGCTTACTCACTAGGTGTCAGCCACTGTTCTGGAGGCTGGAGATATGCAGTCAACAAAGAGGAAAAATCCTTTTCCCATCATGGGGCAAGACAAAGAAGAAACAAGAAAAATAAGTAAAATATGTTGTGTGTGAAATGGGGATGAATGAGACCAATTGTTGAGCGGGGACAATTCTAGATTTGTTGCCCAGGGGAGGCCTCTCTGAGCAGTGACGTTTAAATAAGACCTGACGGGAATAAAGGGTGAGTCACAGGGACAGCTGGAGGAAAGCATTCCTGGCAAGGAGATACAGTGCAAAGGCCCCAAAGTGAGGGAGTGTTCAGGGAACGGGAAGAGGTAGCCTGGTTAGGCCAGGGGGGAAGACAGGAGAGGAGGTCAGGAATTTAAGGGGACTAGATCACGCAAGGCCTTATGAGCCATGATGAGGATGTGGGCATGTACTATTAGGGAAATGAGATTTAATAGGGGATTTGAGCAGAGAGCCATAAATAGATCCTTTGTAATAGAATCACTGGCAACTGAGACAGAAGCAGGGAAATGGGTAAGAGACACCTTGAATGATCCAGGCAACATACGAAGGACAGGTGGAAGCAGCTGAGGTGTGAGAAGTGGTAGGATTCTGCATATTCCTTGCTGATGGAGTAGGAATGAAAGAAGGTGTCGATGATGACTGATGGTCTTGCTTCAGATCCTCACTGAGCTCTGATGACTTCCATATCTGTTCTTCTGACCCAGACTCCTGACCCGGGGCCTGGCACACAGCAGGGGACTGACGTGAACGTTTGATGGACTGAGATGGAAAAAGTAGGTGAGTCTGTTTGGTTGGTGGCACAATCTTTCCAGGCCTCTACCAACATATAACCTACCTTCAGATACTGGAAGGAGGTACAGAGAATAGAGCTGCCAAGTCCCCATCTCGGTCTAAGTGGGAAGTTGAGAGAAGGCAGAAATTGAAATAAGGCCATAACCAATCCTTCCAATGAGAAAACTGGGGAGAGGAGAATGGGAGTGGGAGGGGGACACAAAAGTGAAAAATGCGAAGAATGATGGGCATGGCCTCAGGTTTGCGATGTCTAGAGACTGGGTGCCAATTCCAGCTGTGCCTCTTGACTCATTCTCTTCCCTTCACTGCTCCCAGTTTTCTTCCTGGAAACAGGGAGGCTGGCTCTCTGTAAGGAGAGTCTCTCCAACTGTAACCCTCACAACGCTCCCTCGGATCCTTTTCCTGTACGAAATCTGTCTCCTCTAATCACTTGACATAGTGCTTCTTCAACATCATCTTTAGGAAACTCTTCTGTTTCCTTTCACAATGATTACTCTGACTCTGAGTCTTGTTAAGATGTGCCTCTACTAGTTCCCAAAGGAAAACACCCATGTGTTTGGTTGGTTGGTTGGGTTTGGTTTTGTTTTGTTTTGTTTGTTTGCCTGTTTAAAGTTAATACCACCTTAGGCCAGTTACTCGATCTGTAAACTGGGAATAACACCAGATTGTTGGGATGCTGCGTAGGGTTAATAAAATACAGACTATGTAGGGGTTGAGCAGATATACAAGTGTGCTGGAAGTTCTTGGCATAATACTATAGCATTACAATAATTTTGGCTTGCAAATTACACCCCAGCAGAGGTATCACATGGAAAAGTGGGTCTGATCCCATGGCCTGCTGAAAGTGAAATGAAAAAAATAAGTTGTAAAATATAACTTCTCTTCCTAAACCTTTGAAAAAGGCAGAGACAATGCTTCCATGTGCAACCCACATGCAGGGAACAAATTTCCAGATCCTGGAGAGGAGTTTCTTGTCTGGGGTCACTTGGCCTGTTGCCAGGATCTGGCTGATCTTCCTTCCTGAGCAGAGATGGGAAGGGAAGGAGCTGGAGATTTGTGGTTGGTTGAAAGGTGGGGCTTTAATGAGGATGTCCTTCAATTTTTCTATTTGGGTCCCCCTTACTTGCCGGATAATTAAGTGCTTACCCAGCAGAGGAATGACTTAAAGTGTAATTTGAGATATTTAAGTCTAGGGATACCCAAAATAAACATGTTAGCCCAGATTAACTTCTGGATCTTCCCAACGTCCCTTAGACACATTATACACACAACAGTACAGAGGTTGTGTAGTTGGTGATGGTGTCTGTGATTGTGTGTCTCAAAATTTTAACTGGCTCATAGAAAATGACTGCTCTCTGACCGAAGAAGGAAAGGACGAATAACCTGATTCTGAAGGGACAATTTGTAGTCAATTCCATGGCATCGCTATGTGTGGCTGAGTGGAGAGAGTGGGCTTCCTAGTGAGACCCACATGGACGTCCTGGTTCTGCTACTTTGCAACTGAGGCATTAGGCAAAGGAAGAGTCAACAGCTGTAGGTCCCTCCCTGTCCAAGAGCCTCAGGCTGAGAGCTTGACCTCTACCTCTAGTGTGGCCAGTGCTGTGTCCTGGCCAAAAGAGCCTCTGGAAGCAACCCCGCCCCCCCACCCCGTTTCCTCATTTTGGCTAATAACCGAAGGACAACCTTAAGTTGCAAAGTAGACTAATGTAAATGACATTATATCGGAGCCACCAGGCCGGAGAACTGGAGCCCAGGCCTTCTCTGGGCCTTAGTTTCTCCATCGGCAAAACGAGGGCCCTGGATTAAAAGGAGCCTTGCCAGCTCCTACAATCTTGGGCATTAAACATCTCCACAGCTCCCTCCACTAGGTTGCCCCAGAACAGAGTTAAAAACCGCGACTTCCTCACAGGTGAAAAGGTAAGCAAACATTCCGACCTCTTCTTAGCCTGGCTCTTGGATTGGTGCAGGGCAGGGCACCAGCCGCCTATCCTGGCCGCATCCGTCGTCTGGATTGCTAATACCCTCATTAGCATAAAGACTCCTCCGAAGATCTGGCACACTAGGGCTGAATCGGAGTCTCCGTCCCTTTAAGAAGGATATAGGCACCCTGTCACCAAGGGGTCTCTACATTGCATTTCCTCCGCGCGGGTCACGCTGTAAGCTAGAAATACCCGCATTAGTCCACCTTTGCAACCCACCCAAAAGTGGGGATCCCTAGGGTACACAGCGCGAGTCCCTGGGGATAAGGACAGGTTTGGTCTCTGCGCGCTGCAGGTTCAGGCTGGCTACCTCTCGCCTTAGGCAGCAGCGGGCTGAGAACGAGGCGGGGCTGGCAGCGCGGCGGGACCCCGGCGCCCTACGGCGCGACCTGGCAGCTGGCGCCGAGAAGGCCGCGGGAGGTGGCGCGTGCTGAAGGGCAGAGGTGCGCCTGCGGAAGACCCGGGCGCAAGGTGGGCGGGGCTTGGACCTAGGTCGGGCGGCGGGGCTCCCGGAGGTGGGCGGGGCGGGGCCTACCGGGGCGGGTTGGGGGCGGGGCGCGCGCGGGCCCGGGGAGGGCGGGGCCGCGGCGCGGGGCGGGCTCTGGCGGCCAGAGTGTCACACACGCGGCGGTTCGGGAGGCGGCGGCAGCGGTAGCGGCAGGCGCCGCCGGGACGGGCACGGGCGCGCGGGCTCGGGCGGGCGCCGGCTGCTTCCCTCAGTCGCTGGCTTTCCGGCTGCGGGGCCAGGATCGCCCCAGCCCTCTCGGAAAGGAAGAAGGGGGGGCCGAGGACGCGGACAAGTTCGCTTATCAGCCGGGGATCCCGGCCAAGGCAGAGACTGCGCCTCCGACGGGGCAGCAGCGCGCTCCGCAGCGGAGCGCAGAGCGTCCGAGGCGGGGAGCGGGGCGCCCGGGCCTTTCGCTCTCGGCGGGGCCGTGGGCCGGGATCCCATGAGACGCGCCTGCGAGGGGCGCGAGATCCGAAGCCCCGGCGGCGCGCGGCGGAGGCGGAGGGCGGTGCTGCAGCTGCGGGAGCCGGGGAGCGGCCGGCAGGAGGCGGCGGAGAGAACTTGAACTTGGCGTCGGGAGCAGGCGCCCCGGACGCCCCCCGCCGGGGCCGGGGCGCCGAGGGACCTGGGCGGCAGCAGTGCCCCCCGAATGGCCGCGGCGGCGGACCTGGCTCCCGCGCCGCGGCCCTAGGCGGCCTCTCGCCATGGCCAAGTGGCTGAACAAGTACTTCAGCTTGGGCAACAGCAAGACCAAGAGCCCCCCGCAGCCGCCGCGGCCCGACTACCGCGAGCAGAGGCGCCGGGGCGAGCGGCCCTCGCAGCCCCCCCAGGCCGTGCCGCAGGCCCCCGCAGCCGCCTCGGCTTCCTGCGGTCCGGCCGCTGCCTCCTGTTTCTCGGCCTTGTCGGGATCGCTGCCCGACGACAGCGGCAGCACAAGCGACCTGATCCGCGCCTACCGCGCACAGAAGGAGCGCGACTTCGAGGACCCCTACAACGGGCCCGGCTCGTCGCTGCGCAAACTGCGCGCTATGTGCCGCCTAGACTACTGCGGCGGCGGCGGGGAGCCGGGCGGAGGCCAGCGCGCCTTCTCCGCCTCGTCCGCGTCGGGCGCCGCGGGCTGCTGCTGCGCCTCTGGCGCGGGCGCCGCCGCATCCTCGTCTTCGTCCTCCGGCTCCCCGCACCTCTACCGAAGCAGCAGCGAGAGGCGCCCAGCCACGCCGGCCGAGGTGCGTTACATCTCCCCCAAGCACCGCCTCATCAAGGTGGAGAGCGCCGCGGGCAGTGCCGGCGATTCCCCGGGGGGCGCCTGCTTGGGCGGCCGCACCTGGAGCCCGACAGCCTGCGGAAGCAAAAAACTGCTCAACAAGTGTGCTGCCTCGGCCGCGGAGGAGAGCGGGTCCGGCAAGAAGGACAAGGTAAGGCACCCCTTGGCCCATGGGGAAACTGAGGCATCGCCTCGGTTTCGAGTCCCTGTATCAACTTCTTGCTAGGACCCTGGGGTCAAGGCTCCCACGCTCCTCCCTGATTCTGCCACCTCGCACGCGCTTTCCCCGAGATTGTCCGCCTCCTGACACATTCGGTTTCGCTGCTGCTCCCAAAACGTCCCCTCTCTGAGCCCACAGCCAGGTGTCCGCTTCGGAAGTTGCCTGACGAGAAAGCCCGCCCATCCTTGCCCAAGAAAGAGGCACTCAGCCAGCCCTTCCCGCCCCCAAGGAGTAAAGTAAGAAAGTCAGAGCTGTCACGGACTGAAAAGAGCGCTTTCTCTTGCCTATTTCCTTTTCCCCCATTCCGCCTATTCTATAGATGGGAAACTGAGGTCCAGCGCTGGGGAGGGACTTGCCCCATATTACACCGCGTTCCTGGTGGCAGATCCCGACCGGTCGTCTCTAAAAGTGCATATGTAAATCCCACTAAACGCCCTGCGTTGCCCCACCCCCTGAGCCAGGTTTCCAAACCCAGGCTGCCTTTTGTGCTGGAGCTGCCCCTGGAACCTTCACGCTAGCTTTTCCGGAAGGGGGTCCGCCCATGGGCTTGGCTGGAAGGAGGCCCACTCCTCCAATCCTCACCTTCTTCCTGATCCCATCCCTACTCCACACTGTCCCCGGAGTGAGGGGAACGACTTTGTGACAACCTCCTGCCTTACATATCAAGCAATCTTGATCCCCTCTTTGAAGCAGGCTAGTTAATTACAGCCATACTGGCCCTCTCCTCCCCTTTCACACTCCTGTGACACCTTCCCTTTGCCCATAAAATAATACTTGTCCTGTCTACTTTTGGTGGAAGGCAGTGTTTTGATTACATCTGAGGCCCAGTGTCCTGATATGGCTGTCAAGCTGCTGTCCCTCTTGTGCCTCCCCCACCCCCACCCCCAAAGATAAACTTTCGCCCCAGCTGGGGGAAACTGATAGAGTCCGCATTCCCTTTAGGACTAGGTGTCCAGGCAGGTGGGAGATAGGCTTCTACCTGCCAGCTGGTGCTTGGAAAAGAATCTTTTTTGTTTTCATGTCGGGAGGAATAAGGGGGTGCACCCCTTTAATTTTTCTGCCTGGCTTACTCTCCCTGAGGTCCCAGGTCCCCAGAGTATCCCCTCCCTAATGGGTCTGCTGAAGACTGCATGGGCAGTCTGTGTTAGATCCCACCTCCCCCTGGGATCAGTTTGGGGACATACCTCAGAAGCCTGAACTCAGAGCCTCCTAAGCACCCAGGATGCCCCATCTAGAAAACAAAAGGCTAATAGCTAGGTAACCACCAGGTGCTGCCTTGGTGAGCCTCTGAGATCGTGGGCTTGTGGTTGATCCCTGAGAGGAACATCAAAGAGGCTCCCTGCCGCCTTATGCATGGCCCAGGCTTGGCTAGGCGCTGGCCTGGGAGGACTTAAAGTTCCTGGGTAGGGAAGGTGTGAGGAAGCCTCTGCCTAGTTATCAGGAGTTGCAGCCAAAGGTGCCGGACTCCCTGCATTCCTCTTATTACTCTGTGGCCGTCTCCCAGGTGGGCAAATCTCCTTTCTCTCCCACTACCTGTCATTCTACACTCAAGTCTTCTTTTATGGCTTTCAAAACTTTAGTAAACATTTTTTCTTAATTACAACTAAGGCTGTTTCAAATACTGAGGGATAATGTTTTAGAGTTGGAATGTCAAGTGTGTTTAAGACTTGGCTTTGTTCTGCCATCACTTATTTCCCTTGGGTCTTCTTGCACCCTCCCCTGCTTGGTGCTGAAGCCGCCCCTCTGGGCAGATGCTGTGATGGGGCTTTGTGTTACCTGGGACTGAAGTGGGGGAAGGTCCACAGGGAGGGCCATTATCGTGGGGGACAGGTACTGACCTTGGCTGCAGAAGAGAGCCTGATGCTTTAGGGGGCTACAGGTAAAGTCCCTGTGGCTGGAATTGAGAGATGAGAGTTGGGCAGGGCCCCAGAGGGGCAACAGGCCCGTGGTTAAGAAGGACCTTGTAAGTTAAGCCCAGCGAGGGCCAAAGAAGGGATTGAGCTGCTAAGTAATCTGAGCAGATACAATTTTTTGGAAAAGATCTCTGGACTGCATTTCACCTACTAGATTGTGACCTTGAGCCCTATGCTGTTTTGAGAAGTTGTTTCCATTCTAGACACTGAGGAACTGCGGCTACTGAACGTTCTTCCTAATGAGGATGGGGAGAGACAGCCAGGGAGGGTCATCTGAGGCAGCGGGTTCAAACAGATTGCTGGGACCTCCCACCCCGGCCCCTCCAGCATTTGCTTCCCCAAGCCTGGTGTGGGGCCTGAGAATGTGCATTTCTGGCAAAGTTCCCAGGTGATCTTTTGCTGCAGACCCTGGGCCACACTCTGAGAACCACTGCTACAGCAGGGGCCTCTGGGTGTTCCTGTCAGAGCTGCTTTGGGGATGCGGAGACTCCAGATGCCCTCTGTGTGGGGCTGCCTGCTGATCTGGGATCAGCACCGCCCCTCCTCCAATTCCTGGTCAGGCAGCCAGGAGGCAGGCTGGTTTTCACATTATTTTTAGCCTGATAACTTCTGGAGGACAGACATGCTGTAGATCCAACTGTGAGCATCCCAGAGCCTTCCATCTGCCCCTCACCCATGGATCCAGGAACACCCACTTCTACACCCCATTTAATCTCAGGCCCAGCTTCCTTTTATCAGTTGGACAAGAACCCATGACGCTGTTGAATGCTCCCCGCCTGCCAGGCCCAGTGTTTGTTTTTAGCACTGGGCCTGAGTCGAGAGTTACTGTGTGTGGCGTGAAGTGGCGGCTGCCGGTCCACAGATCCTCCTTTCAACGCCTCCAGTGCCACTCCCACCGTGGCTTATCCTTGGGGGCCCCCCTTCCTGCCTCCCTAGTATTTCTGCCTCCCTCTGTCACACGCTTTGGCATCCTTCTCTTCTCCCAGGTGAGTCCTGGAGCGTGCGCGCACCTGGACCCACCCCCCACCCCGCCACCACTAGCATCCCGTCATGGGCATTTTCCCTGTTAGTCATGTGGAAGAGGGACCATGTTTTCAATGCAGCCAGCTTTTACCCAGCGCTTATATTGTGCTCAGGGAGCTCCCAGTGCCCGAACGAGATAGGAGGGGAGAGGAGAAAGGCTGCAGCAGACTTGTCAGGAATCTCAGGCCTACGCCTCTGGAGGAGACTGACACACTGTCTTTTCATCACTTGTCTCCCAGTGTTTTTGTCTTGGGAAATTTTAACGATGTCTTCACTTAGGAGGCAGCTTTGAGCTGGATCTAGAGATAGAAGAGGAATTTCAGTGCAAAGAAAGGGGTGACTGCAGCCTGCAGGAGCACTTATGTGCCAGTGCTGTGTGTGTACGTGTGTGGGAGTGTGTTCATCTGCGTGTGTGTGGTTATACATGTGAGTGCATATCAAACCGCAACGAGGAGGGCCTTCTTGGAAACCAGAGCTTTCTTGTAGTGGGCCCCACTTGGGGAATGGAAGGTGACAATGCGAGAGAGTTGGGGACCTGAGTTTGGACCACCCCCCCTACCTCAGGGGAGTCCTTGGAGACTGTTGAGCCAGGAAAGGGATGGACTCAGTCAGAGCCATGGTTAGGGAGCATCCCACACTACAAACAGCTGTCGCAATCTGAGGGCGTTGGGGTCAGAGTTAGGGGACAGTTGCAGTCTAGTCCAGGGGACAGACAGTGAAGGCCTGAGCTCTTGAGAAGAGAGAATAAAACTTCAGTAGGTGGGAATAGTGTTCTTTCAGGCTGTCTTTATGAAAAACAGTGAGGACAAAAGAGGCCAGTGACTTGGTAGTTCTTTTGTGCAGCCAAACCATTCCTATCCAGTTACGTTTTCTGCTGCAGTCTTGTTTCTTTTATCATTAAATGTTTCCACCACAGCTGAAAAAGTCAAGACACATCATGACATCATTTTCCCAAGTTTTAAATACATGCTAACACATACCAACACTTTATATTTTGTGTCAGCATTCACAGACTTGAGTTAAATAACATGTTTCCTCAGGAATAAATAATATCATGTCTAACCTTTTCTTTTCCTCTTAAACATTTAGCAAACAGTGTCTGAGCAGCCTGCTAGGCAGGGGAAAGTCAGAGACAATAAGTGGTGGCCCATTTTCCAAGAGGGAAGCTTCTCAGTTTGTAGTTGAATACCATCTTCTCAAGGTCTAGTCTGGGAGAAGGATACAGCTAGTGAGACAATATCATGATCTGAGGAATGTCAGAACAGAAGTGTGTGCACAGGGCTGGGAGATCCTCATGTCTGGGAAGTCAGAGGCCTGTCAGGAGGAGGTGCCATTTGAGCTGACTCTGGACGGATGAGTGGGAATTCTCCAGGCGGGGAAGTGGGCAGGAGGGCTCTCCATGCAGAAGGGACAGAATAGCTATACCCAGGCTTGGAGGCCTGGGAGAGGGTGGCTGGAGGCTCAGCAGGGCCGATGGTGTGGGAGGTGGCAGAGAGAAGCTGGAGCCACAAAGGGAAGAGAGTGTCTCTTGCTGGGGAGTTGTCATTTGTCTTTTGGTGCTTTTGGTGACATAAAATCATTGATGTGTGGCTTGATTGGCACCAGGGGCAAATGTGAGTTGTCATTTCCATTTGGTTAATGGTCACATTTTCCAATTCTAAGAAAGTAATTGATTGAAAAGGTAAGAGCCACGCTTGGTAGCAGTGGTTTGGCTTGGGACACTTTCTCCTTTGAAGTCCCATCCCTTAAAAGTAGTGTGAGAGAGATGCCTGCATATCAAATCCAGTTTTTCGCGTTGATTTCCCAGAGGACAAATATATTCTCTATGTTTCATGCTAACCACTAATTGATCATTTAATCCTCACGATCCCCCTGGAAGAGGTCTAGGTACTGTATCAGTTAGCTGTTGGTGCATAATAAATCATCCTAAACTCAGTGACTTTAAACTAGGGCTTAGCAAACTACCCGTAAAAGGCCAGATAGTAAATATTTTTA